AGAGAGTGTTCCCCAGGAATTGTTCCTGTTAATATAGTCAACAGGTTGGAAATATTATGTCAGGCATTGGGAACAAGCCCATTATCTGCATCATTGGTGGTGGTGACGATATTCGGAAGGGCAGGAGAGAGGAGCCGCTAGAGAAGTACAAGTCAGCTGTAAATTAAATTAGGTCTAACGGAGGGGCACTGATCATATGTGGCATCTTGCCTACAAGAGGAGTGGGCAATGATTGGATGTCTGGGGAATTTTTTGTAAATTGTTGACTAAACAGGTATTGCAAAGAACTTGTAATACCATTCATTGACGACTTAAACAATTTCTATGGCACACGTAATATGTATGCACGGGATGAGAGGAGGAGAGAAAATTGACTCAGATACAGTATAATGCGATCCAGTATTGACTATGTTTCGCCCACACAGTGAGCCTTATCAGGTCACAAAACAGATCTACCTGAGCAGAGAGTGCTTGAGTATAGATAAGGTGGTGAGTCCATCGTGTCGGTATTTTATATCAATTATCTTCATGGGATGAGGTACATCTCTCTGGGGCAGGAATGGTAGCTTTAACAAACTCTGTCGAGGAGGCCGTTGCTGAGTATTCTAGGACTTTAATTAAACTGATAGAAGATAGAGGTATGGGTAAGTGTGGGAAAGAAACAGGTTGCAGCATGAGGGATGAAAGCAGCAAATGTTACCAGGATGCCTCAAGGATATGTTTAAAAATCTTTTTTCATCCTAAACTTATTAATGAATGCAATGGAGCTGATGAACAAAGAACACAGTAGAAGGCAGCGAGTGACTAACTCCCTTAAGGTTTACTATACTAATATTGGGACCATAACAAATAAGATATGTGATCTAAGATTAATTGCATGTGCAGGAAGCATAGATATAATTGTTATAACAGAGACCTGGTTCTACCTGAAAGATAGAAAAATACCTTCTGAATGTCATATACAAGGTTATAAATTATTCCACATCGATAGGGTGAACAGGAAAGTTGGTGGAGTGGCGATGTATGTCAGTGATTATTTAAGATGTTGCATTAAATAAGATATAAAGTTAGAAGCGTCGGACACTGAATCTGTTTGGCTACAATTTCTCGAGCATCGTGAAAAATTAATGTTGTGTTGATTTACAGGACACCAAACCTTGATAGCGCATGGAGGAAACTTCCATGGAAAGAAATTCATAAGGCATATAGACACGACAATGTTGTGTTAATGGAAGATTTAAACTTTAGACAAACTGATTTGAGCAGATTGACAGGAAATCTTGAAAGAAGTTCAGCGAAAACTCCGGCTCATTTTTGTGATGCACTGCCTATACCTGATGTGACTGGTTTCAGAGGAATGTTCTGTTTATGGGTCTTAGGCAGTCCATACATGAGTGTAGGTGTAGGGTTGCTGGGTATGAAGTGTAGACGTTTCTTCCATTTATTGGTGCGTATAAGAATTTGTCTGGCTTTGTACAGAAAGACCTAGGTGAATGTCTCCCACTGTTGTATGTTGAGGGGCTCGTATGTAGATTGGTCGTTTGAAAGTCCCAACATTTTGGTGTGAGTATGACGCTGGTGTTTAGAATGACGACTCCACCTCCTTTGTCGGCTGTGATAACGATAATATTTGAGTCATTGGCAAGGTCGTTAAGGGCAGTTTTATACCGTCTATGAAGATAAGTAGAAGAAGGTTCACATAAGGCTACGGTGAGAATGTCCTGTGTAATAACCTTTTTGGAAATTACTGTCATTGTGTCTGTGATTTTTCGGTAACTAAGTCCAGTTGCTGGTTTGGTTTGCGTACGTTGAGTCCTAGACTCAACGCCTGTTTCTCATAATCGGGTAAGGTGCTTGCCACTGTTAGAGCAGCGGTGCTGGAGTTTGTGGTTGAGTTTAAACTTCTGTTGGAGGTCGGCTGTGGTGACTGTGCTGAGAATGCGCTCAGCAGTGTGGTGGTCAATCTGCAGATTAATCCTCATATTTCTTGCGCTTTCCAAGGTTTCCTTAGAGATGTTTGAAAGCTCTTCAGAGCATTAAACTGCTTGACTTCGTTCTTGGGGAAAGCTATCACAAATCACTCATTATCATGGAGGTGCCTTAATAACTACAATCAAGTTAATGTTCCTGACTTCCACTTAGCCTATTTCATAAGACTGAAAAATTACCTGGGTGTTTAAACTGGTCAGGTAACCAGTGATGGTTGCCAATATGATATTTTTCAAAGCATGGTTCTAGCTGCCCAGACGACTTATGTTTCAAATAGGGAAATTAGATCAAACAAAAATGAACTTAAATGAATAAACAATAGATTACAGCATCTAATAGGTCAAAAGAAAGAAATTTAAAGGTGAATCAAAAGAGGAGGTTGGCAGATAAGAAATCATTATATTCACTTAAAAAGAGAATTGAAAAAGAATAAGAAAAGCAAAGAGAGATTATGAGGTTAAATTCTCAGGGGATTCGAGAATTAACCCATAAGGTTTCTTTCAGGAATATAGGAGTAAAATTAGGGACAAGATAGACCCACTCAAGAGCTACTAGGGTCACCTCATTGACAATAATAGTGATAAAGAAATGTGCATAATCTTCTACACTTACTTCCTGTTTTTTTTTTTTTAACAGGAAAATACTAGTAAAATTCCAGAAATAATAAATTAAGTAGATCAGGATGAAAATAAATTATGTACAATCATACTTACTAATTTAAAAGCTAACAAATCTACGGGCCTTGAAGAAATGTTTGCAAGGGTTTTAAGGAAATGTAAGGAGGAATCTAGCAAACCTTTGGCTAATCTTTCAGCATATCACTACAAACTGGCATTGTGCTACATAATTTGAAAATTACAAATGTGATTCCTTTCTACAAAGCAGGAGACAAGTTCTTAACTTCGTATTATAGATCAATAAAGGTTACCTCCATTGTGGAAAAAACTGATGGAATCAATAATTGCCGAGGTTATTCGAAGCCACCTTGAAAAACGTAACTTGATTAATGAATCTCAGCACGATTTTACAAAGGGGCATTAGTGCCTTACGATTTTATTAACTTTTTTTTCACCAAGGTGTGTGAGGAGGTAGATCATAATAATGAATAAGATATTGTGTATATGGACTTCAGGAAAGCTTTCGATAGAGTTCCACGTCGGAGGCTGTTGAGGAAAGAAGAGGCACATAAGATGGGAGGAGAAATTTTTCCTGGATAGAGGCGTGGTTAACAAATAGGTAGCAGAGAACTAGCATAACTGGGGAGAAATCAAAGTGAGGGCACGTCAGTGTTGAAGGAATTAATAGTGAAAAAGCAAATTTGCCGACGACGCCGAAATAGGCGGTCGAATTAATTCTGACGGGGACACTAGAGCGCTACAGGAAGATCCGATTATTTTTCCAAGATCTGATTAGGTTGATGTAATGGTCGGAGAAGTGGCAATCACGGTTTAATATAGACAACTGCAAGGTTCTAAGCGTTGGGAAGGAAAATAACCATGACACTTATAAACTAAATAATGAAGATCTTAATCACTCTGACTGCCAAAAAAAAAAAAATTAAGGTGTTCTGGTTAGCAGTAATCTAAAACCAAGACAACAGTGTGTAAGCGCTCGCAATAATACCAATAGCATTCTTGGTTACTTATCAAGAAGTATAAATAACAGAAGTACTCGGGTCATTTATTCTTCAACTACATATTGTCGATTAGGCCTTATTTAGATTATGCTGCAATTTTCTAATCGCCGTTTTACTGAATGGATATAAATGCGCTGGAAAACGTACAAAGAAGGATGAAAAAGTTGATCGTATCACAAAGCTTTCTTACATGACACTGAGGCCCTGAATCAGCACTCTCTAGAAAGGCGTAGAATTAGGGAGGACATGACTGACCTGTATAAATGGAAAACAAGAATAAATAATGGGGATGTAAATAACGTGATAAAAATTTCTAACCAAGACAGGACTCGCAGCAATGGTTCAAGTTAGAAAAAAATTAGATTTAGAAAAGGATATAGGAAACAGTTGTGGATGAGTGGGACGCACTCCTGAATAACGTCAGTGAATCTAAAACTTTGTGTAGTTTCAAAAATAAATTAGACAAATACATGAGTGGGGGGTTCAGTGTGAGTTGGACCTGACCTGTTTAGGCCAGTAGTCCTGCTGCACTGCTCCTTCCTTCTTGAACGGGTGTGACCTGGACCTGACTATCATGGACCAATAGTCCTGCTGCACTGCTTCCTTTTTCGTACGTTCTTATTTTCCATAATATGCCATTTCCAAATCCTTAAAAAAAAGAAAACGTCTTTACGATTTTTTAAATACTCTTCACTTATATGTTCACTGAAAACACTTGGTCTACACACCCACTACCCTTCCTCATGCCTCGTTGTTCATCCACGATCCTGCTCTCCTTCTAACTCTTAATTCTTTCAATAATAACTTTCCAATACACCTTACCAGTTATACACAACTCTCTTATTACCTTATAATTCTCACATTCTATTTTATCCTCTGCATTTTTATACAGAGGAACTATACACGCTCTCTGACAGTCTCAGGGTCCTTCCTCTCTTTCATACATTTATTAAATTAAAGCACCAACTACTCCAAAACTATATCCCCACCTGCTTCTAACATTTCTGTCATGATCAAATGAATCACAGCGGCTTTACCCCACTTCAATTTCATTTTATCCATTGCCTCAAGCACCTTCCCTACACTCATATCCGGCTCTTACTCACCTAAAACAGGTTATACCTCCCTTGCCACTGCATAAAATATCAGCTTCACTTTTTTCAACATTTAACTGTTCCTGAAGACATTCTCTGCAACTTCCCGATTCCTCCAACTCTCCATATCCTTTTAACGATTAATTTCATTTGTTCCTGAGCCTTTTTCTTATTCTCAGAAAAATTTGTTGAAAGCATCTCACCCTCTCTTTCATTTGTTCTCTTTTTACCTTCCCTTACCACTTCTTTAGCTTCCCGTTTTCTCTCCATATACTCCTCACTCTTTATATCAGTTCTGCTTTGCTAAAACCTCTCATATGCTAACTCTTTTAGTTAGCTGAATCTGGTATATATCGGGAGATAGCTGAAACGGAAAAGGTTGGACGGTTAGTATGGAGAACACACCCTCAGTTCGCGGAAGCCATAGACACGCTGGTGCGTCGGGGCGACCACGTTCTCATGGAGGTCGACACTGCCGAGAAGGCTTATGTCGCACAAGACTTCACGAAAACAGGTATTTTATAAATGAAATTCTGCATATTGCTTGAATGCATCTTGCTAAAAGATTGCTTGCACTCGTAATCAATGACCGTTTTCTCAGTGCTGTCGTAATTATTTCAATATTTCTCTACAACACTGCATAAATCAGAGAAAATATCACTGTGTGATGTACTTCGTTGCTTGCCTTAAGTAATGACATTTAAAGATTTTTAGCCTTAAATAAGTTAGACAGGATTTAGTTACATTGTATATAACTATTTCTAGGATATAAGCAATATGCATTGCAGATTTATTTTCTGTAATATATTGATTAACCTCTTACCATAAAAAAAATATGTTTTTGATAAAGTTCATCTTAGATGCTTGTTGCTATAGCTACAAAGCATGAATTTCGTTTTCTACAATGTTCGGTGTTGTTACTGATGTATATTTATACATTTAGCTGATCATTGCTGTACGTTCGTTATGCTGTGTAGCTTTATGGTATCCACACTGAAAAGTTCTTGAGTATAGGAAAATTTATTTTATTGTTAGTATTATTCAGTAGTTTGCAGAGAGTTCAATCAAATTTCACCCGCACAAAAACCCATGAAATAATCCTTTATCACTTTATTTTAATGGGAAGAAATCAGTAAACCCATAAGAGTCATACTGCGCCTGTGGAATGGGAGACATTAAGATTCGACCCAAGCAGGAGGGAAGTGAGTACAGTTCCTTGGAACAAGAGCACCTTACCAGCCTCAAGGCGAGATAACGCAATAATGAAAATATAATAGTATACACTACACTTACGAGTTGTAGTTTAGAAACTGATCGTCAGAGGTCTTCAGTTATCCCTCAGAAACAGAATATGGGAATGACCAATACAACATTGTCCATAAGGCGCTTGCGTATACATAATCACCTAATTTTGTCCTAGATACAGTGAACCAGAATGAAAAATGTGAAAACGATTGACTATGACATCAAGTAATCCACGAATATTTTGAAGGAAAAATTAAAATTTTGCTAAGAATTTCCGAAAATCAGTAAGACTACACTAGTTTAAATTTAAAAACGCCATAAAATTTATTTTTACAAAATTTTAAATATTTGATTTAATTATTTAAGTAAATCAAATCTGATAATATTAAAGTGGGAAAATTGATACCCATGCACACCGTAATTAATACAAACATACCTCTGATTAAGATACATCAGCATTTAAGGTTTGAAGCCGATCAGACGAGGCATTCTATAGTTATTACATGGGAAATATTTTTTTTTAAATTAAAGCAGAGATTTAAAATTTACACAGCTCAAAATAAAAGCCAAACTTTGTTTTTATACAACTGGTGAAAGTTGAAGACGTCAACAACATTCTTCATTATTTTATCTGATTCTAATGATTCCAAGTGTTTAACAAAATTATAACTTGCTATTACTCAGAATAAACTTATGAATTATCATATTTCCCATAAAATTTATCATCGATAATATTTCGAAGACCGATCAAAGAGTTCCTTAGTAACGGAGTATCAATAAATATTTCCTTCTGTTCAATAATACTGGCAAAATGGGACTTGTACCATCCACTGACAGTTAGGAAACTATAACACAAGTGAAAGTTTAAAGCCAATTAGAAGAATCATTTTCTAGTTATGGCAGATATTTCAACGAATCCACGTTGATAAATTTGCCTCTACACAAACTAAGCTTAATGGGCACTTAAGATGCCTTATGATGCACTGCCCATTAAATATTGGAGCCATTCAGAAAGGGTAAACTGATATTGATACAACATGAAATTCTAGTGTGTAGCTACAAATCTGCAACGACACACTTGAATTATATTCTCTGCCGTCGTGGAATTAGGAGGCAACATTTTTACATGTCTCAGATTATACATCTGAGGTGTTTGGAAGATGTAAGAATCATTCCATGATACTGGGAATGGGTTCGACAACTTTAGTCAAAGGCCTCCTATGCCGTTTTTCCAGAATCTGTTCCTTGTTACTGTACACACCATTCAAAAGTTCAAGCTGATTGGATGAGACATTTAAGAGTTATGAGCGAAGGAAGCATGAAGAGTTCAAATAAAAGTAAAAACAACGTAAAAAATAATAATCTGGTCAACCATTTAAACATCCAACTTCGGGAATATTTGCTAATTCGTTTAGATAAATATTTAAACGTCCTTTACTTTTATTATTAATTTCCATTACACTGTCCTACAATATTCCTTCATCATAGCTGTTAATTATTTGGGGACTTAAGTCAGCAATAATCACAAAGAAATATTTTTTTTTTTTCTTGCATTTGTGCGAATACCTATAGATAGGTAAGTGTAATAACCATTTTGTAATATGTGTGTGTGTGTGTGTGTGTGTGTGTGTGTGTGTGTGTGTGTGTGTGTGTGTGTGTGTGTGTGTGTGTGTGTGTGTGTGTGTGCTCACCTAATTATGGTTGCAGGGGTCGAGTCATAGCCCCTGGCCCCGCCTCTTTACTGATCACTGCTAGGTCTACTTCCTATTCCTTCCAAAAGTCTTATTTCACATCTTTTTAAAGTTATGTATGGATCCTATCTCTACTTCTTCACTCTCCAGATTGCTCCACTTTCTGACACCTCTGATGGTGAAGAAATAGTTCCTAACATCCCTATGGCTCATCTGAGTTTTTAATTTTTAGTTGTGTCTCCTTGTTCCTTTGTCCCAACTCTAAAATATTCTGGCCCTGTACACCTGTATGTGTGTCTATGTGCCTGTTTGTGGTTGCAGGGGGCGAGTCACAGCTCCTGGCCCCGTCTCTTCGCTGGTAGCCACTAGATTCACTCCCTGCTCCATGAGATTCATCGTATCTCTTCTTAAGGTTATGTGTGGATCCTGCCTCCACTACATCACTCTCCGGGCTCTTCCACTTCCTTATAACTCTATGGCTGAAGAAAGACTTGCGGTTGTGACTCCTTGTTGCTGTGTCTCACTTATGAAACATTTTGTCCAGATCAACCTTGTTAATTATACTCAATATTCTATATGTCATTACCATGTCCCTGCATCACAACTGTCCTTCAGTGTCGTCAGGCAGATTTTCCTTGATCTCTCCTCGTAGGACATACCCCTTAGCTCCGGGACTAGTCTTGGTGCAAACCTCTGCACATTCTCTAACTTCTTGACGTGCCTGACCAGGTGTGGTTTCCATACTGGTGCTCATACTCCAATATGGGCCTGACATACACGGTGTACAGAATTTTGAACTATTACTTGCTAAGGTGTCAAAGCACTATTCTTAGATTTACCAGACGCCCATATGTTACACCAGTTATTTGGTTGATGTGCGCCTCAGAGCAGCTCGGTATTATACTCACTCCAAGATCCTTTTCCTTGAGTGATATTTTGCAATCTTTGTCCACCCTAGCCTGAACTCTGCATGCGGTCTTCTTTGACCTTCCCTAATCTTCATGGCTTTGCATTTGGTGGGGTCAAACTCCATGAGCCTGTTGTTGGACCAGGCTTGCAGCCTGTCCATATGCCTCTGTAGTCTGCAAACAAGGACACCTCTGAATCTATTCCTTCCGTCATGTCATTCACATATACCAGAAATAGGACTGGCCATAGAACCGACCCCTGTAGAATACCACTCGTCATAGGCGCCCACATTGACATCTCGTCACATGCCATGACTCGTTGTTTCCCTCCTTTCAGTTTTTTTTCTGATTAACTGCAGAACCTTTCCTGTTATACCTGAAAGATCCACTAGCTTTTGCACTAATCTCTTGTGTCGAACTGCGTCGATAGTCATCTTACAGTCAAAGAAAATGCAATCTACCCACCCCTCTCCCTCTTGTCATTCTGCCGTCAGGTTTGTGGCATAGGATTATCCTAACCTGAAACCGTGCTGGTTGTCGTGTATAAACTAATTAAATTCTAGGTGCTCCACCACTCTTCTCCTGATAATCTTCTCCATGAATTTGCATACCATAATTGTCAGTGACAATGATCTGTAATAATGCCGCGTGTCTGTCTCCTTTCTTAAAATCTGGGACTACATTTACTGTCTTCTACATCCCAGGTACTCGCCCTGATTCGATAGATGTGTTGAAGACTGTTGTTAGTGGCACACACAGCGCCTCTGCTCCCTCTCTCAAGACCCACTGAGAGATGTGGTCTGATCGCACAGACTCTTCCCCTCTTCCTCGGTTTTGTGTATTGTGTCCAGCACTTGTTGGGGTGAACATCAAAATGGTATACAATACCGACAGGTTGTTAGGTAAGACACATATGCAACAGTTAGACATCTTTATTCCGAAACGTTTCGCCTACACAGTAGGCTTCTTCAGTCGAATACAGAAAGTATTCGACTGAAGAAGCCTACTGTGTAGCGAAACGTTTCGGATAAGATGTACTAATGTTGCATATGTGTCTTTCCTAACAACTTTGGGGTGCCGCCATTCCCGTTTCCTGGAGTCCTTCCTCCATTAAATTCACCTTAATCCATGTCGAGCTCTTCACTACTTCCGTCATTCCTTGATCTCACCCTCCTCCTCCCTCAGTCTGATTACTGTTTTGGTTCTAAACCTTTGGTACCAAATGCTCGTTCTGGTCTTCCCTTTATTCTGTCGCCATGGATACAAACCTCTCCTCTGCCTATTTGCATTTGTGTTTGGTTTCCATCATCTCTTCCTGATTTTCCCCCCATTCTCTTTCACGACTCGTCAGATATTCTCATGCCCGTGCAGTCCCCATTTGTGTTTGCTCTATCCTATTCTTCTGTTTCCCTATCTATTGTACTCTACAGATAAGCTCAGCACGTATTCACTAATGATCTTCATACTATGTCTTCAAAAGTTTTATTGCTGGTTCATTGTCCCCATCCTCTCTCTGGTAGTGTCCCTAACGTGTTGGTGAATGAGGTTTTTCAGTATCACCTGCATTATCTTAGTCCTCCACGTTTCTGGTTCCCCACATGGCTTCAGTTTTTCCATTCAATTTCCTTGTGATTTAAAGGCACCCTCAACAGTAACATTGCCCTGCCCAT